GGAAGTGTTGAAGCAGAGACTGAATGACCATCTGTCAAGCAAATTATAAATGGGATTCACTCACGGTATGGATGGTTGGACTAAATTACTTCTGAGGTTTTTTCCAAAGCTAACGTTTTATTATCTTCATTACAATGTAGTTTGTAATCCTACAAGTGAGAAAGCTAGAAGTTTCCAGATAAAAGGATGCCTGAAAATTATCTGAACAGTTTTGGTGTGCACCGAGTCTGTCTGTATAGTTCATTTGAGTCTTTCATGAGGCTATCATCAAAGTGTTTTCTACGCATCATGGTAAGATGTAATTGGAATTAAAGTGCAGAAGAAGTTATGCTTAGTGAAAGGGTTAGAGCAGGAGATTGGGCAACACAGAAAAAGCTCAGCTTTGTTTGTGACCTCTACCTTGAAGCTCACACAAAGACTGGGATGTTGGGTGATCCAAAGCTGAAGCATAAACTTACAACCACTTGTAACTAAACAGACCTATCTCAACTACTCTAAGCCAGGACTAAACTACATCCTCTGATTCAGGCTCCAGGATTAAAATGAAATGAGGTACTCCTGAATCATAAAATACAATAAAAACAATCTTACTAATTAAACAATTGAAAAAACACAACTCTAATGATAAAAAGATATAAAATGCTTCTCTCTTCCACTGACCTGTTCAGAAGGGAAAGTGGAAGAGAAGGTGAAAGCAAAAGGAGGAGGAAGAGGCTCTGGCTATGATCCGGCTGTAGATGAGACCCTGTCCTCAGAGGTACACAGCTCCTCCTGGGGCAACAGCCCCTAGCACTCCCCTTGACATCTTCATAAAATAAAAAATTCCTTCTATACTCTAATGCCCTTGGAGGTAAGGTCCCAAAAATTTCCTAGGGGACAGTCCATCACCAAAATAACCTTAAAACAACCCTAGCAATTGAAGGAACTTAACAAAAACATAAAACAACATAAATACCCTTTTGTAAAATGGAGAGTAATTTCAGGCGCAGTTCAAACTGTCTTCTGAGATAAAACTATCATGATAGCCAGAAGCAGCACCAGGAACATTAGGTTCACACAATAATTGACAACATATCTGATGCAATCACAGGGCTGAATCGTTTCAATCAAGACAGTTATGAGGTAATAGGACTCTTGACTCCAGCTTTCTCCAGAACCTAAGTTGATACTGGGACTCTACACAATCACCTGCTTGGGTGTTCCCTCACCCACTAAGTTAAACTTCCCCTCTCTCACAGCCCCGTCAAAGGGACGGTGCCAAATTTTAATGCCTACATGGAGGAGCTCACTCCTTTCTTTTACAGGAGTTAGAGGAAGATTCCCATTCACCTTTGCCTAGTGATTCAAAATTACCATCAAGTCAGCCAAAGGACTTTCCTTTTTCCAAATGAGCTGATTTGTTGAGATTATAAAAATGTGGTTTCACTTTCCTCATTTCTTTTTCTTTTTCTTTTTTTTTTGGCTAGGCGATGGGGTTAAATGACTTGTCCAAAGTGTCACAGCTAGTAAGTGTCATTTGTCTGAGGCCAGATTTGAACTCAGGTCCTCCTGACTCCAGGGCCAGTGTTCTATCCACTTCGCCACCTAGCTGCCCCTTCTCACTTCACTAAAAAGAAAAAATCACCTCCCAACACTTCCGCTGATTGGTCTTCCAAAATCTTTTTAGTAAGGAGCTGTCTGAACTATCTTGGGGGAAAGGAAAATTAATGAAAACCAGAGCAGTATAACCCCAGGTTGTACAGGGTCTTCTGAGGAGAGATGGAGTCAGAAACTTTGAGGTTCAGACACTACATGGAGGATGGAATGAGGAAGGGCTAGAAAAGGTCAATTGAGTCTGTGTTCAAAAGTAGTTCAATCTAATCTGGTAATTCTCCTAAAACCTGGGGCCATGACACCATTGGAGTGAAGTGCCAGCCACATAGCTCGAAGCTTGGCAGAAAGGGAGTACTTGCTAGGTCTCTCACCTCTCAAAGTGGTTCCAGTTATTGGACTGACCATTGCCAAAGTCTAATTGCATAAATATCTCTCATAATGGGTACAGCCAAGCAACCAACGAGTAAACCCAGCCAAACAACATTTCTCAGGTTCTTGTAGGCAGGGGCCCACTGAGTTAATGGAAGAGGCAAATCACTGGAGATGAGATTAAAAATCATAGCCTTTGGCAAAATCACAACCTAGTCATGGAAGGTACTAAAAGCTGGAGGGTCCAAGTGAGCATAGTTTTGGATGTGCCATTTCTGTTTAACAATGGAAGCCTCCTATGCCCCATCCATTTTGTTGGGAGAACCACAAGGAATGGCTCAGTAACCTCCAAAGGCTTCTATTTCATCCTACATAACAGGCACAGAAGCTACCAAAAGCCTTTGTACAGATACCAACTCCCAAGATTCACAGTATCCATGCTCAGAATATACTCCTCTTGATCAATCATCATAATGAGACCCCAAAAGGGGGTTCCTTCTATCCACCTTCTCCTGAATAAGAGTATAGCTTCTCTCAGTGGTATTTCCTCCAAAAAAGTTGTTGAGGGTCCCCTGTTCTACTAATATTTTGCAGCCCCTTATTTGTTTGGCAGCACCCTACTTTCCAAGCCTCAGTACCAACCTCAACCCTTGACTTCAGGGAATTCATTACAATAATCCCTCAAATCCACAAACAGTTGGGTGGCTCTGATGATCAGAGAACAAAGGTTTTCGAGATGTCTTAAATTTTGAAGGCAGAATGACCTTTATTGCCCTGATCCTGGACATCCCAATATAATTTTCTAATATTCCGTTCACTTCCAAGATGACCACCAATAATCTTATTTACTTTCTACTTACCCTGTATTTCAAAAGCCACACCCAAAGCTCCTTATAGGAGCTGCCCACCTCTGCCCACCTAATGTAACAGTGAGCACTGTGACTTCTCCCATCATGATCAGAGTGCTTATTTGTGTGGTGAGCTGTACAGCTACTATGGCTGCCCAAATCTCCCAACAATTGATCTGCCCAGGTTTGTATGAAGTCCTGTTAAGGAGGACCCCATGTCTAAAGTCTGATGCCATTCTAGTAGGTGTCTGACCCAAAGATCGAATCTAATGATACTCAAAACTGGCTGTTCATAAGAATTGGGGGGCTGAGGCAAAAGTGTATAAATCCAATCTACCAAACTCATCTATTTAAATACTTTACTCCTTCCTTTTCTGCCCTCCATTAATTTCAGGTAATTCATCTCCTATGGGGCAAGTATGCAGAACTCCCCATTTTATCCATCTAAAAAGATACAAAGGGCAATCCCCATCTGGAGCCTACAATTCAATCAGCTGACTTTGTAAGAGCAAATCATCATCTGTAAGTTTTTCCAGCCAAAGGCACTCTGTAATTGACAAAGTCTAAATTGTCCCATTAGATCACGCCCTTATTAGTCATTGTTCTAATGATTCATTAGTTTACTGAATAAATTTTTTCCTGCAACCTCTCAAGTTCCCACCCTCTGAATTTCCCATAGAGAAAATTGCTTCTCTGGTAAAAGGGTGAAAGGGAGGGAAGGGCAGTAGTAATACGGTAATGTGAGGCTTTCTTATTACCTGATATAATTTCCATTTATGATCATCCCTACAGCTATTTTCTTCTATAGTTTCCACAAGGTTTGACATATGTGCCAATGAAAACCTCTAGGTTAATGGTTATGTTATCCCCCTGTAGTATATTGTTTGGGGGCGGGGGTGGTGGAGAGGAATTAGCAAAGCCTTTTCACTTATATGATTACCAAATCCACTGATCTTTCTTATGCCTTCAAGGTAGTCTTTAAAGATCAAAAGCTCAGGTATCTCTAACTGCCTAATAAAGGACAATTTATTTTTACTCTCTCTGTGTTGGCCAACTAGCCTTTCCAGAGCTGTCAATTAAGAGCCATGGAATGCTCCATTCTGTATATTCTCACTTTCCTTATCAAACTTCCATCCCACCAATTGCACAGAGTAAAGAGTTTCTTCCTGGCCCCACAGAAAAGGTTTTCCATAAACACCAAACAAGAATTTAGCTAGTAGAGATCAGCACCCTGTATTTGGCCATCTACTTACCCAGGGCTCCCCTTCAACACCCTGCTCCAGCAACCCACTCACCTTTTGTGCAAAAGAAATATATCTTCTACGATACTGTCCAACCAACAAACTGTAACTATTCATTCCTACTAAAATGTGCTGGAGGCATTAACAGGTTCATTTCTTCTCTAGATACCCGGAACCAACCAAAACAAATGTCCTATTCACCCTGGGGATGGTTTGTTGAAATAGGGAAGTAAGAATCCCAAATCCTCATACGTTTAAGCCTAGGTGGATAAGATGGTATCCTCAGCTTCTTGGCCTAAGACAGACTGCTTTGGCTGAACTATCTTTGATAAAATTGTTATGTGTGCATTTCCCCCAAACTGCACCTATGGAAGTAGACTGATCCTGTCTAATAGGGCTTTCATTGTTTTAAAAGAAATTCTTTGGCTGCCGTGCCTCTTCATGGCTAATGAATGTCCTGGGAAGTTTCTAACACGTGTGGTTAAGCAGCACACGTGACAACTAATGATCTGCTGCTGGCCCAATACTCTTTGAAAGGTGTAGAGCAAAGTATTTAGCTTTCATATACACAGCAATTAGCATTCTGTTTCAGCAGGAATGCAGCTGGGAATCCAGGGCCCTATCTCATCATTGTGTGTCAATGGCCAAGTCATTTATCCTTTTGAGCCCTCAGTTTCTCTTCATCAACCACAGTGAAACAAAGAATACACTCCTGTCTCCTATTTACCTTGCAGGGCTAATTAGAGAATACGTGAAACAACATGTGACTGTGCTTTCCCACAGGTACTTAAAACTATTTCTTGAATTAAATGCTCAAGTTTCTTGGAAAGAAGGCATTGTCAGTTATGATTGTGATAAAGAGATGGAATTCCCAGAAAGGCATAGAACAGGAAGTAGGGGAGAAGGAGAAAAAGAAATGGAATGGACTTGTAATATTTCTCAGACTTACCAATCCATCTCATCAGAGATGTCAAGATCTGGAGGTATTTGGTCTTCTGGACATCAAAGAAGGTGAAAGGTCCAAGAAGTAGTGTGAACACAGCCTAGGGAAGAAAAACTAGAGTAAATACAAAAAAAAAAAAAAAAAGAAAGAAAAGGATAGTCTGTAAATAACTTAATGTTTATGTAGGGAACTATAATAATAATAATAATACTAGCTAGCATTTATATAATATCCACTATTATGTTCCAGGCACTGTGCAAAGCACTGTTACAAATATTATCTCATTTGATCCTCACAACAACCCTGTGAAATAAGTGCTACTATTATCCTTATTTTACAGATGAGGAAACTGAAGCAAACAGAGAAGAAATGACTTGCCCAAGGTCATACATCTAGTAAATATCTGAGGCTGGATTTGAACTTGGGTCCTCCTGACTCCAGGCTCAGCACTTTATCCACCATACCACCTAGCTGCCTCCAACTATCCTGTGCTTGTGGTTAATGTCTAATTCAATTTTCATCTGGGTCAGTTTAGGCTAAGTGGGGTGAAACTATCCTAGACTTGGATAAATTTCACGGATCAGTGATGGAATCAGAAATGAAAACTATTCACTTTCCCCTCACTTATGAGTTTCTGAGACTAGATTCCTAGGCATACTCAGAGTGCCACCAAGAAAATGGGTAAGTCACCTGTGTGTAGAACTTTGTATGAGATCTCAGGGAAAGGAGAATGAAAAGACATAGATGATGAGAGATAGCATACATGAACAGACTTAGGAACACTTACAAACAATGTATTAAATACAGATTAATACAGTATAGACTGATGAAGTGACCTGGAATAAATAATCAATTAGGCAGTAATTAATCAAATAAATCTTTTAGTTTAAACAAACGAAGAAGAGACCTGGAAGAGAGCAGCCAGGACTGACCTCTGGAGCAAACCACATATAGCAGTAGCATTATAGGATGAAGAGAAAAGGAACCAAATCTGGCAAAGATTTGTGGTGAACTCGAAGATCTAGATCACCTGGGACAAACTAGCTCTCTCTTTTCTTCTAGCAGCAGGAAAAAAGTATTTACAAGAGATTTTTCTCAGGGGTAGCTAGGTGGCATAGTGGATAGAGCACTAGCCCTGGAGTCAGGAGGACCTGAATTCAAATCAGGCCTCAGACACACAACACTCATTAGCTATGTGACTCTGGGCAAGTCACTTAACCCCAATTGCCCTCACGAAAAAAAAAAAAAAGATTTTTCTCCATTTCCCTTGGAAACTGATTTCTGAAAAACCGGAACTCTCTTTACACAAAAGCTTTGCAAAGTATTGACTCAAGGGTGTGGAGAAGACTTTCATGCCAAATTTCAGGGCACGGGAGAAGAATTAAGCTGTTAGTTGGAGTTAAGATGATGATTCCATTTCCAGTCTGCCACTCAGAAGCTGCTCTTAGCATCAGACCTTATTAACATTTACACTGTGCCATTTTCTCACATTAATGCTAATGATACCCACCAGAGATGCACCAGACTGGGCTCCCGAAAGCTGAAACGTTAGAGAGAGAGACAAACTTCTGGGAGCAAGGCTCCAGTCCTGTGATCTCAGTGAATACATTAGAGCTGCTCATCATGGCCCCTGTGACAGGCAGGTGCTTGGCACAACGGGGAGGATGAGCTGTACTACCTTCCCCCACCCCAAGCTGCCTGGAAGAAGAGCGATGTGGAAGAGAGTGGGGGCGTGGGGACAGCAGGATGTGTGAAGAAGCTGTGACCTCTTATCCAAGTCCATTACTGCTGTGAGAATGAATGACATTAAAGACTAAAGTGTTGCTCAAGGAAAAGGCTCTAATTAGGCAGGGCGGATAAGGTCTCTTGGCAGTCACCAGGGATGGGGAGAAAGAGCCAAATTGAGAGCTCTTATTCACTTGAGAGACTAAAGCTCTCTGCTGATTTTGTTCAAGACAGGGTAAAGCTGAAGCACTCAGGTGGAACTAGGGGTCAGGTAGCTCTGGGGAAAACCTAGGGACCACTAGAATTTTGATCTTCTTCCCCTCTCACCTTGCCTCCAGAGCGGGACACTGAGAATGCAGTCATGCAGCCAGAGTCACCACTTAGATTTCTGTAGCAAGTGTGTATGCAGCACCATCACTAAGTCATTTAGGAAAATTACCACTTCAGGGAAGCTTTCCACTGATGAGTTTCTTTTTGAAGGGTGGGAGAGGAAAGTGACTTGGGGAAGATGAATAAATACAAAGTCATTTGCTACAAATGTTCCCAAAGGACCACAGCACACTAGAAACAACTCCTGGTTCAGTTCCCCAATTCTGTGCTTGACTGGAGGTCAGTCTCACCTTTCTGACCTTCAGTTTCTCCATGTGAAAAATGACAAGGCTATCTGGTACTCATTTTGGTGCCACTACTTCAATGAATGATAGAATTGTAAAGAGTCTTCTGAATGGTTTTAGTAGACAGATGAACATCATTTTTGAAATAGGACAATTAGGACTGTATAAAACGCAAACACAGAGATGCCATCCATTTCTGTTCATCACACCCAGGACTCTCTCCTCTTTAAAGGTACTTCTACTTAGTACTGAATGGTTCAAAGAACCAAGGGTTAAGGATGTACTGAGGGAAGGACAGTGCCAAATAGATCCTGCTAGAAATTAATAGAGAATAGTGGCATATGTATTCTGGAGTTAGTCTCAAGTTGAACAGGACAGGGGGTTATCTGACAGCACAACTTAGTGAGATGGAAATGTTACAGAAGCCATTTGGGGGGAAATTATAGGAGTAGTTCTGGTGTCGGTTGGATCAGTATTCATTATGGGAAGCAATATAAGAAATCTGGGAAGAGTTGGAAGGGTGAGATCACAAGGAGAAGTCCAAAAGGTACTGGGGATTTAAGCAGCACGGGAGGTTAAGAATGGGAGCACAATGCAGAACAAATGAGCAAGAATAAAGCCTAGTGTTTGTGAATATGATTATTGTGTTGCAAGTAGCTGGATGAGGCTTTTACATGGTCACAATTACCTCCCCACCGCTTGCACTAGATCTCTCTTCAACACCTACAACTTACTGAGTCTATTATGTGTAAGGAACTCCGATATGTTAGGCACACAAATATATAGAAGATATCCCTTGTCTTCTAAAAGTGTAGTGTTGAGTAGTGATTGGTTCATTCTTTGTATTTGTATCCCCAGTGCCTAGCACAGTGCCTGGCAATCAATCAATCATATAAACATTTATTAAGTGTCTACTAAGTGTCACACACTGTGCTAAGAGCTGCGTATACAAAAAGAGGCAAAAGACAACCCCTGCCCTCGAGCAGCTTATGACCTAATGGGGGGGAAGGGGAGAGAGAGAGACACAACAAACAAATATGTACAAACAAGCTATATATGGGATAAATAGGAAATAATTAACAAGGGGACAGCACTAGTATTAAGAGGGATTGGAAAAGGCTTCCTGTATAAGGTGGGATTTTAGTTGGAACTTAAAGGAAGTCAGGAGAGGTCAGTAGACAGGGATGAGGAGGGAGAACTTTCCAGGAAGGGGGAACAACCAGAAAACATTCCTGGAGCTGAGAAATAAAGTATTTTATTTGTGGAACAACAAATAGGCCAGTGTCACTGGATGGAAGAGTATATGTTGGGGGAGTAGGGGGTAAGAAGGCAGGAAAGGTGGGGGTTGGTGGGGATAGGTTATGAAGGTTGATGGGGATAGGTTATGAAGGTCTTTGAATGCCAAAGAGCATTTTGAATTTGATTCTGGAATGAGGAAGCCACTGAAGTTTATTAAGTAAGAGGGTGTCATGATCCAACTTGTGTTTTAGGAAGATCATTTTGGTGGCTGAATGGAGAATGGATTAGTGTGGGGAGAGACTTAAACAGGTAGACCCATCAGCAGGCCATTAAAATGGTCCAGGTGTAAAATGAAGAGGGTATGCACTAGAGTGGTGGCAGGAGAGAAAGGGGCCTATTTGAGAGATGTTGCAAAGGTAAAATAAACAGGCCTTGGCAACAGATTGGATATGGGAGGGTGAGAGATAGTGAGGAGTCCAGATTGACTTCCACGTTGTGAGCCTGACAGACTAGGGGGATGGTGTCACCTTCTACAACAATAGACAAGGCATCTCTGAGAAGATCTTTTTGAAGACACAGTCCAGCAATTTCATATTCAAGGCTGGTCAACAGACAGGGCTGGTTTTTGTAACAATTTTTAAATAACTAAGCACACAGAGTCAAGTACACCACTCATGACCCAACTTGGTCTCGGCAAACACACACAGACTGTTAAACACTGGCCCCTTTCAAAGAGCTGATTAGCTCATACATCGGAGGCAACTGAGACCGTGCATCAGAGACAGACAAAGGCTGGAGATAATTAGGGAACAGGTGTCTTTTGAAAATTAGCACAAAGCAGAATCGAGAAGCAGCAATGGAGCAAGCATTCAAAGTGAAAAAGGACAAAGGACTAGAGAGAAGTGAAGGAGTGTTGCCACAAAACAGTAAAGCTGCTTTGGGTCCTGGGAAGAGGCAGGGTCTTCAAGAGAGAAAGACACACCAGCATCTAAATGGAATTAAAAGTGTTAGGTCCAGGCTGAGACAAAAGCAATTTATGAATTATACATATTCTCTCTAGTAGCAATGTTCAAAACTGTTCTTATACACTGGTTTTTTTTTTTTTTTAAATATGAGCCAGATTACTCTCCTGTATCTCCTAAATAAGGTCATACAGAATAGCCAGCTTCTAAAACAATTTCCTATCTCCCAAATGGTATTATCAGGTCAAATTTATTTAAAAGGAAAAATTTTCTGGCTATAATAAAATCCTCAAATTGGTCATCAATAATAAGCTAGATCCACCTATACTATATTGATATATATTGATATTGACATATCAATACCTACCTATTGATCTATAGATATAGAGGCCTGGAGATCCTTCCACCTTCCTGGATCAATGGACATCCAAGGAGTGATAAAGATATTTGCTAGGGTCTTGAATGGGTAATCGAGATAATGTTTACATGGCACCCGAAGACTCTTCTTTTTTTGGAGGAGGAGGTGAGGGTGGAAGTGGTAGTAGTCACTATACATATGA